GTTTTATCAGGTGTCTTCAGGACTGGCTGCAAAGCCCTCCTCTGTGGCCTAACAGGACTGCTCCTCCCTTGGGGGGTGGGGAGGCCAAAGAGCCAGTCATTGAGTTCCTGTTAGAAATAGTCCTTGTTCCCCTCACTATGGGAAACCAATTGGTTACTGAGCTACCACAGGCTACATCTGAGCAGAGGTTCTAGGTTATATCCATACATGGTCCTTGGTTGAATGTCAGTCTCAGAAAAGACCCTGTGCCCAGATATATTTGGTCCTTGTGGAGCTCCTATCCTTTCCCCATCAGACTAACTCCCCTTCTATCATATGATTCCCTGTACTCTGCTGAAGGTTTATTCATGAGTCTTTGTATCTGCTTACCAACGATATTTCTAAAACAAGATTTAAATGGAAAGTAATTACTACCAGGTTATCTGGAGATCACAAAGTGAAAAAGTGAGTGAATAGCTGATGATACAAATTGGGATGGCCTGGTAACATAATCCCATTTTAGGAATTTACCTATAAAATGGTATGAAGGTCAGTATCCCATCTCTGACATTAAGGCTATCAATGCTCTATTCTTACTTCATTCCTTCTGTTTATAGACACTGGGCAAACCATTCTGATTTTAATTTTTTCCTCTGACTTATGATAAGTAAATACCTTGCTGGATGGCATCAATCATTTAACAGATTTATTTACCTAACACTGCATTCTTGGTTAGACTGAGGTATTTTTAAAGCCCTTTAAGTAATAAAGTATACCTTTGAGCGTGTTAAGTGTCATCTTTTGTCTGTGGATTATAATTAATTTCACTTAGTGAATTTGTAATTTCTAATTTCTAATTAGAAATTGTAATTTCTAAGGACTATCTTTTATAACTCTTCTATGCTAACTCATCTGTCATTCCAGTTTAAGCATATATTGCATGATGCCTCTAAAACAAATATTTTTTTGGTGGTTCCGCCAAGAGGCAGATTTAAAAAAAAATATTAATTGTACTTTATTTACTTTGTATCCCCCTCTAGTTCTATCCTTCCTCCCCTCCCAACCCTTCCCTTCATACCCTTCTCCATGAATGCCCTTCCCCAAGTCCACTGATAGGGAAGGTCCTCCTCTCCTTCCTTCTGATCTTGGTCTATCAGGTCCCATCAAGAGTGTCTGCATTTTCTTCCTCTGTGGCCTGGTAAGGCTGCTCCCCCCTCAGGGGGAGGTGATCAAAGAGCAGGCCAATCTGTTCATGTCAGAGACAGTCCCTGTCTCTAACAAATATTTTTTTAATGATATGATGCTTGCTAGTGAGTTAGAAATACAGAATTGTGACAAGTTTCAATTTCTGTGCTCTATTATGCTACTTAATTGAATGACATCATGTGAAAGAGGTCATTTATTGAAAATAATTCAAGAAAACACCAGAAGTAAAAAGGGAGCCCAAGTGCTTAGCCCTGAATTGAATACCTTCTCTTAGACTTTGTGAAGTCCAAAGATTTCTTTCTTGCAGTAAATGTTGTTGAAATGGAAGATCCAAATAGGAAATAAAGTTAAACATGTTGAAAAAAAGTACCAATGGTGATAAATAAACTAGCCTTAAGGTAAGAAAGGACTAGTAATCAAGTTACATGCTGAATGTTCCAATTGACATACAAGACCATATGGTATGGTCAGTAAGAAACTCACTAAATGGCTATTTGAGTTGGCAATGGTGCTATCTCCTTTTGGTTTGAACTTTCCTAATGCCAAACTGACTTCACTTTTTAAATTTACTGTTAACTGTTCACATACCACTTTGCTTGTTTTTTAATTGGGCTGCCTTATTATTATTAAGTGTTAAAAGTTCTTTATATTCTGGATGCAAGTTCATTATCCAACTCATAATTAGCAAGTAATTTTACCCACCTCTAGCTTTTCTTCTTTCCTTTCCTTCCTCCCTCCCTTCTTTCCTCCTTCCTTTTCTCCCTCCCTCTTTTCCTCCCTTCCTTCTTTCCTTCCTTCTATTTTTTATTTTACTTTGTATTGCTGTGTCCAAGACTTGCCTGTTCCCAAAATACCTATTCACCTATCTCAGCCTCCCAAGTACTTAAATTATGGCGCATACCAATGCCTTTCATTTTCTTAATGTTTATAAAAATATTCATTTTTGTTTAGCCAAATTTATCTTTTTTTCTTTTTATGGCTTATATTTTGGTATTTTTAATTTTAATTATTTTTATTATAATTTATTCACTTCGTATCATGGCTATGACTCCCTCTCTCATCGCCTCCCAATCCCACTCTCTCTCCCTCTTCTCCTCCTAGGCCTCTCCCCTAGTCTACTGATAGGGGAGGGCCTCCTCCCCTTCTATCTGACCCTAGCCTATCAGGCCTCATCAGGACTGGTTGCATTGTCTTACTCTGTGGCTGCAACCCTGAGGGGGAGGGGATCTTATCTAGATATATTCAATGTAACAAAGGTCTTAAAATGTTTCTCACTTTAGTGACCATTGTTATCAGTGATCCATTCTGAGATTTATTTTTTCAATAGTGGTAGTACAATCATTTGTTTGAATTTTTTTCTAATTGCATAGTTTGGAAGTTTTATTAAAAATCAATTGACTATCAATACAGGGTTAATTTCTATTATTAAATCTGGTCCACTACTCCAAATGCTTAGTCTAGTGAAAATTCCATGCTATCTTGATATAGTCTATTTCCATTTAGGTTTCATGTCCGTTTTCACAACTTTTACTGGAAAATCCTTGAATCTCCTAATTTGTAAACATGAACTGTCTCTCTGTTCATGGATATATTCCTTAGTAACTTTCAACCATGCCTTGTGTTTTTTATTGTACAAGCCTTAAGTTTTTTTCTTCCTAAATTATCGTCACATACCTGAATCTGTTTTCTTTATATAAATGGCTTCTCTTACATTTACATTTTTTAAGTTTGTTGCTAGGTTGCACAAATATGATTAAGTTTTATATAATTATCTTGCATCCTGTGACTTTACAAACATTTTCTAGTCATTTTGTTTTGGGTATGTATTTGCATATTGCATATGTATTTACACATTCTTTGAGAATTTCTACACTGAAGATGATGTCACCTACAAATAAAGATGACTTTATTTCTTCCTTTTTCCACCCTTTGAATCCAGAAAATAAAAAGAAAAAAATAACATGACTATAGGTCATTTGGACTAGTCCTTTATTATATAATTAGAAAGGGATAAATGAGGATTATTTATGGAAAACCCAGAATCAATCAACATTGAAATAGCTCTACTTGATAAAGTTTTTCAGACAATCCCAATACTGCAGTAGGGATTTCTTAACACATTCAGAATATGTGTGTTCAGATCTCTTTATTATGACAGTTTATGGAATAATGTGTATAAATTGCAAGCTACTGACAAAGGAGTTAACTGCTTGTGAATGTAAGTAGAGATTGGCACAGTGGTTAGTGAGGCACTGATGAATAAAGAGATATTTCTTGGTGCTAAAAGAAGAAGTAAGGTACTATCTGGGATTAAATATTGAAAACTAAACACAAATCTCCAGGAACAAGACCAAAGTACAATGGCACTTCATGTTCTGAGAGACCTTGATAGCTACTAAGGATATGCAATGTCTGATCTTTAGGAGTTCCACTATGGGAAATTACATCAGCACCAAGAAGCAATGAACAAAGAACTGGTTATTACCAGCAAATACTGATAAATATTAGGTGTTTACATTTGTAAGAAGTTGTGCCTTTCTGCAACATATTTCCATTTCTTTTGCAGAAGCATCATCTACATCACCTATTTATACATAGATGTGTGCCAAAAATATAAGACAAGCAAAAAAATACTCCAGTTCTTGAGTTTTGTGCATGGAGGGTGTTAACATAGGTGCACAAAAGTTTGGAGATCAGTTGGTTCCAAAATTTCTGTTGTCCCATTGCTTTCCAAGGTTCTTGATTAGATGATAACACCCATAGGCAGTCTATAAGAGTATTGTTTGGTAGCAACTGACAGTGGTCTTAAATAGTGAGACCTAGAGAGTCTCACTACTGAGAGGAACTACTGCAAGTTGGAAAGCCAGTCCTGAATAGGGATTTGTTTCTGCTCAGGCAAGAAGAACAGGACACCTTAAACAAATGTCTTTAAATAACTTACTTGGTCATTTTTCTAAACCATTAGACTTAGCCATATATATGTTCAAACCTAAGAGAGGAACATCAGTATAGATATGACTAAGCTTGGATTGGCAGCTTAATGTATGTTACCTGCCAAATTCCTCAAGAAAGTTGCCAGTAATTAAGCAGTATTCAGTTTAAATGACCATATAATTTTGTTTGCCAAAAGCCAAGAAGTACAGGTAGGCAGGGTAATCAGGAGTCATTCAATGGCATCAAAATACAAAGCTGTATAGAAGAGTGGCAGAGATTTAGTTGCAGGATGATTCACTTGTATTGACACTAGAATCTGATTACTAGGTAGAATAACATCCAGATTCTGGTCTCTTGATGACAAGGGTATTCTTGGATATGGTGATGCCACTATAATTGCAAGCAGAGGACCTGAAAAAGTAAGTCACTAAGAGACAAATCAGTAAAGAGGATAAAAGCTCTGGGCTCAGTCCTAGGCACACAAGCTATGGGACTTGGGGCAGTAGAATCAACCAAGATTTCATCCATTGGTAGAGATGTGAATTTCAGTATATTATCAGGTTTTTTTTTTTTTTTCCTTTCTCAGACTGGAGAGAGTCTTGTCTGCAAACTGTCAGAACTCTGAAGGAATGGTCCCAACTATAAAGTTTTATTATCTTCGTCATTTTTGTTATGTCAAATTGAGTGAGGGGCTATCCTCCAACTAAAAAGTCTGGTAGTTTAAATTCCTGGATATGTAAATATTCATGGTTGTTTTTAAAGCAATGCCACAGCAACTCATTTGTATTTTGAAGTTTGTGAAAGTTTATAAATCACTAAGGCCAATGGTGAGAAGGGTATGAGTTTAAAAAGTAATTTTCTATCCTCCTTTTACTAGCAACTTATATTTTTCTCCTTGCTGGAGTTCGAGAACGTTTAGCAAGGCAATCTCTTGTGAAGTGACCAGCCTGGTTACAATGGAGACATAACTGAGTTTCTTGCTGGAGGGCTCTTTTAGCTGGAGTGATGGGAAGTTGGGCTCCCTGAAATTGTTTGGGCTCATCCTTATGTAGTGGACTTACAGGGATAAAGGAGGATTCTTGATGGTTTGTAGATGCAAACATTGGTAGGTGACATTCTGACTGTAGGAGCTCTGGCCTGTCTTTGTGTTTTTTGTCCAGATGAATGCATTGAGTGATCAAATCTGGTAGGTTTCCCATTATATCTGTTATTTCTTCATCATGAGTAGGCCCAGACTGTCCCATTTGGAATGGATTGCTCTGAATGGTCTCACTACAACTCAGATTTTGATCAAGAACTTGGAAAGTAGCATCCTGCTGAGAGTTGTCTCTCTTGCCAATCTTAACATTCCTTGGAAGAGTCATTTCTTGTTTTGCAGGTTTAACTAATGACTGCTGGAACTCATGAACAAAATTCTCATATTGCTTCAATAGGTTCCTCTGGTTAGAGTCAGATATAGTGTCACAACTTTGCATCTGCTGGGATAGGTAGTCAAAAAGGTGCTTGACTCGGGCATCATCTGCAGGATTGGAAATCTCCAGAGCTGTCAAATAAGCAGCCACCTGAGCAAGGAAACCTGTGACACTGGTTGGGTTACCACAAAATTGAGGAAGATGATCCCCTGAGTATGGCACAGACATCACTGGGGTACTCAGGATTGGTACAACTTGCCCTCTTAAAGTGGGAACTTCTCCATTGTGTTTCCTGGAGCTATATAGAACGGAATAGAAATTCAGTACCAGTATCGACCAAGGAACAGGCAGTGGTTTGTTTTGGGATCAGAAAAGATAGTATCATAGACAAGCAGGAAAAGAGTTGTTCAATGTCACTAGAGAATGCTGAGAGTTGAGCTGAAGAGATGTTACAAAAATGTTATCTTCTGTTCATCACTGTTTCTTCTTCATGGCGAATACCAGTGTTCTACACATTCAGATGACACATATCACCTTAGGACACAAAGAGGAAAGGATTTGAATTATATATATATATATATATATATATATGTATGTATATATATATATATATATATATATATATATATATATATATATATATATATATATACTAAAGACAGCAATTTTCTCCTCCCTCCTTTTGTAAATATGGACATTAAACTTTAAACTAATCCATTATTCTAAAATTTCTTTTATAATCACTGTCAAAGGACTTTAGATTAGAGTTAAAATTGGTCTTGGAGATCATCTAGACCAACACATTTTATAATTTCACAGATCAAAAAACAGAGACTCAGAGAAACAAAAATATTTGTCCAAGTTAATATCAGATTTGGTATGCTCATCAGGGCAGCAATACAAAAGAGCATTTTCTCTAGCTATTCATGTTCGACTTGAGTATAATGATACTTCATGCTCCTGACCACTCAAAACCTAATTAGGGAGCAAGATTAGGTTACTAGAAATGTTTTTAGGAATACAGAAAATCAAGATCCATCAAGGACCCACTGAATAACTTTTCACACTTTACCAAGATCTCCAATGTGATTAGAATCTGTGTTGTAGTTTAAGAATTACTTAGTCTCAATTGTAAGAATCACTGACTGTATTTCACACTCACTCCTTTAAGCCTTCATTGCTGCCAGGTATCTGAATGCTGTGCTGTTAGTTAATCTGCTTTTTTTTTCTATCATATCTTTGTCTGGAGTCACATTTTTGTTGCCATGGAAATAATTAGAACATCATAAGTAAGATGAACTGAGATTAAGAACTTCACAAATAAGAACTGAATGTTCTTAAAAGTGTGAAGGTCAAAATGTTCAACATATCTCCAGCATTGATAAGGAGAGTGAAGTAAAAATAAAAATTAGAAATAATCTCTAAACATATGACATGTCAGTTAGTTTGAACTCCAGTCCTTTCATTGCATTTCATTCTGTAGCATACAATTTAAATGTTATTCAATTGTCTACCAGTGTGCAAAAAAAAAAAAAATCACTTAATCTTTCAAAATACAAGTTTCTTACTAGATAGGCCATAGATCTAGGGCAAAACCAAAAACTATTGTTTTGTTATCAGAATATAGCAATAAAATAACTCCTTAATGACATTCTGCTATATTCATCGATCAGTGTTTTTCTCAGTCACCATTAGAGAAACTTCTTCCTACAGTAGGTGAGAACTAATACAGTCTTGTAACCAGACAATGTACAGAGAATGAGAGACCTTGGGACATCAATCCTAAATGGGATGTTTCAATCAAACTCCTCTCCCCAAGGGCTCAGGGTGCAATATAGAAGAGTAGGCAGAAAGACCATAATGACTAGAGGAAATCTTGTCTTCCAGAAACAATGGGACTGATGCATATATGAACTCAGAGAACACAGCATCATGCACAGGGAATGCATAATCCCAAGTCAGATATGGTTCTGATGCTGAAAGGGGGAAGTGGACAACAGCTCCTGTCCCTAATTACAAAGCTGTCTTCAACTGACATCTACTTCCAAAAGAGAAATTAGTTTTCTCCAGTAGAGTCTCATTGAGTATATTAACCACACTTAAGGGTGGACCCATGGCCAGCAGTAGATAGCTAACAAAAAATGAATTCAGTGATATATATATATATATATATATATATATATATATATATAGAGAGAGAGAGAGAGAGAGAGAGAGAGAGAGATGTGTGTGTTAATGTCTGTGATTACAGATATGTTTATATGTATGCATATATTCATATGAAGTGCATGGATCAAAGCATTTCTCCTGTGGAATTGTTCTTGTATGCATTCCTGTCAGTACTCTATAGCCCTGGCCCTATATCAACAATGAATTTTAAATTATATTTGTCTTTTGTTTTACCAGTTCTGAAAGCTGTTATCAAAGAATACTGTTTCTCATATGCACCAAGACTATTTTCACAGTAAAATAAACAAATTTATTCATAAAAAAGAAATTCTTAAAATTGATGTTTAAATGAAATGAAAGGAGATTAGCACAACTTCATGCAGATTGCAAAAACCTCATATGTGTTGGCTATCATTTTTCTATGTTCATGTTGTATCATCTGTGGTTTATTACTAAAATTTCATCTTTTCAGATTATTGAAAGGTAACACAGAACATTATTCTTATTATGTAACATTTCCTGCAGTATCTAGAGAAACAAACCATAATTAAGCCATTACAATGTAAAGAAATAAATAATAAGCAAAAAATAAAAACTTACAATAAAAAGCAGGAAAATATCTGAATATTCATACTGAATTGGTTATAGATGAAACTCATGTCAAATAAGGTCAACTTTTGCTGCCAACTAGATTTTAGCAACACATTAATGAAAAATGACTTAATGACATTAATGATTAATGACTTACATGTCATAGTTCTTTTTGATTTCAGAACTGGAAATAAAGGGATTGTGAACCTATATTAAACTTTTTGTTGTAAGGGTATGATTATAACTTCTCCTGTAGGTCCCTGCTATTTGATCTGAAGCCTTGCAACTACCCAGCAAAGCAGTAATTCTCTCTTGAGCTTCAGAACTTCTAAGGAAATCTGTGGTGACAGGTGCTGAGTTGAAGTATCAGTCTGTCACATAAGACTGAGCAGAGGAGCATTTGTTTGGATTGTTCCAGAGATATGTGTGTATTTCTTCTACTATTCAGAAGAATAATGTTAGACAACATTTTTTTATCTCTACACATAAGTATGTTTATCTGTATACTGAATAGTATTGGGCTTATTGAAATTTAGCATAGTCTAGAAATCCTAACTCCAAAGTTTGAGTTAGAAGTTAGTTAGCAGAGGAACATCGGAGTGTTTTTACAGCCATTCCAGGTAATACTGATTTAAGTTGTCCTCATATTTGAGCATGGGGATATTGCACACACACACACACACACACACACACACACACACAGAGAGAGAGAGAGAGAGAGAGAGAGAGAGAGAGAAATGCCAGGTTCTCAGAATCTCCTAGAAATCTTATATACTGATATATATATTTTAATTTCCTCTGTGAAGATTATGGGACATTGGCTCATGTATGAGACCTATCAATATGAATAATAAATATGCTCTACATGTGATGGTGATGCGGAAATTTCAGTTAACATTTTTGAGAAACAATGGTTTGGGTTCTTTCTAAGGGTCCTTTTCATTTTATTCTACATTTTGGGATGGAAGTTGTAGACAAGCTTTCACTCTTTAACCTAGGTTGGATTGAAACATACTCTAGCCAGGGCAGGTTCTAAACTCATGATCTTCCCGAGTTATCAGAGTAAAGTGCCAAAATTACAAGTGCGTATGTCAATACTCTGTCATTTTTAGAAATAAAAGTTATGTATCTCCCAAAGGAGTCCTCCAACTATGTGGTATGTGGATTTATTTTTATGTGTGAATATTTATTCAATTTATGTCCTGGCAGTAGCCACCCCCATCTCCTCCCAGCCCCACCTACACCCCTTCTTCTAGCCCTATGCCCCATCCCTTATTCCACTGATAGGGGAGAAATTCCTCCCCTTCTATCTGACCTTAGGTCTCATCAGAGCTGGCTAAATTATTCTTCTTTGTGGCTTGGCAATGCTATACCCCACAAGGAGAGGTGCTCAAAAAGAGGCCAATGAGTACATGTGAGAGACAGCCCCTGATCCCCATCCTAGGGTACCCACTTAGAAACTGAGCAGCCTATGTGCTTCTTCTGAGCAGGGAGACTAGGTCATCTCCATGCATGGTCCTTGGTTGGAGTATCTGTCTCTGCAGACCCCCCTGGGTCCGGGTTTTTTTTCTTTTTTCTGTTGTTCTCCTTCTGGAGCTCCTGTCCCTTGAGGACTTTCTATCTATCATTTATTCCATAAGGTTCCCTGCACTGTGCCCAATGTTTAACTCTGAGTCTTAGTAACTCCTTCGACACCCTAATGGGTAGGATCTTTCAGAGGACACCTGTGGAAGGCTCCTGTTCCGTTCCCTGTCATCTCCTACTTGTAATGTCTATTGTATTTGCCCTTTTGAATGAGGTTTCAGTCTGGTTCTCCTGGTTGTTTAGCTTCTTTAGGACAATACATTTTAGTATGTTTATCCTAGATTATGTGGCTATTAACCACATATAAGTGAGTATAAACAATATGTTTCTTTCTGCTTCTGGGTTACCTCACTCAGGGTGATCATTCCTAGTTCTACACATTTGCCTGGAAATTGGATGATTTCCTTGTCTTAAATTTCTGAGTAGTATTGAATTGTGTAAGTATACCACACTTTCTGTATCTATTCCTCCTTTGAAAGACATCTAGGTTGTTTCCAGATTCTGGCTATTACCAATAACTCTGCAATGAACATAGTTCAGCAATTGTCCTTGTTGTATGGTTTAGCATCTTTATGATATATGTGCAGGGGTAGTATAGCTGGATTTTCAAGTAGTACTATTGCTAACTTTCTGATAAAGCGCCAGATTGATTTCCAAAGTGGTTGTAAAAGGTTGCTCATGCTCATTAGCCATCAGGGAAATGCAAATCAAAATGACCCTGAGATATCACCTTCCACCCATCAGAATGGCCAAGATGAAAAACTCAAGGGACAACACATACTGGAGAGGTTGTGGAGAAAGGGGAACCCTCCTACACTGCTGGTGGGAATGTAAACTGGTACAACCACTCTGGAAATCTATCTGGTGCTTTCTAAGACAATTAGGAATAGTGCTTCCTCAAGACCCAGCTATACCACTGCTAGGTATATACCCAAAGTTTGCTCAAGTACACAAAAGAGATATTTGCTCAACCATGTTTATAGCAGCTTTATTTGTAATAGCCAGAACCTGGAAACAACCCAGATGTCCATCAATGGAGGAATGGGTACAGAAATTGTGGTATTTTCACACAATGGAATACTACTCAGCAATCAAAAAGGAGGAAATCATGAAATTTGCAGGCAAATGGTGGGATCTAGAAAAGATCATCCTGAGTGAAATATCCCAGAAGGAGAAAGACAAACACGGTATATACTCACCTATATAGACCTATAAGATATGATAAACTTAATGAAATCTGTACACCTAAAAAAGATAATCAAAAGAGCAGACATGGGGTAAGATGATCAATCGTCGTTTAGAAAGACAGAGGGGATGTGCATTGAACGTATGACGAGTCTACTGAGCGCATTTGAAAGACTCTAACTAGCAGTGTTTTCAAAGCAAAGACTCATGACCAAACCTTTGGCAGAGTACATAAGAAAGAAGGGGAGTTAGTCTGATGAGGAAAGGATAGGAGCTCCACAAGGACCAAATATATCTGGGCACAGGGTCTTTTCTGAGACTGACATTCAACCAAAGACCATGTATGGATATAACCTAGAACCTCTGCTCAGATGTAGCCTGTGGTAGCTCAGTAACCAATTGGTTTCCCATAGTGAGGGGAACAAGGACTATTTCTAACAGGAACTCAATGACTGGCTCTTTGGCCTCCCCACCCCCCAAAGGAGGAGCAGTCCTGTTAGGCCACAGAGGAGGGCTTTGCAGCCAGTCCTGAAGATACCTGATAAAACAGGATCAGATGAATGGGGAGGAGGTCCCCCCTATCAGTGGACTTGGCAAGGGGCACGGTGGAGAGGAGGGAGGGAGGGACTGGGAGGGAATGAGGGATCGGGATACGGCTGGGATACAGAGTTAATAAAATATAACTGATAAGAAAAAATAAAATTAAAAAAAAAAGTTACATTCCCACCAGCAATGGAGGAGTGTTCACACAACCTCTCCAGCATGCTTCATCCCTTCAGTATTTGATCTTAGTCATAATGAGGTGGAAGTTCAGGGTAGTTTTGAATTGCATTTCTCAGATGACTAAGGACATTGAGCATTTTTTAAGTGTTTCTCTTTTGTTAGATATTCCCCTGTTGAGAATTCTCTGTTTAGCACTATAACCCATTTTTAAATTGGATTACTTGGGTTGTTGCTGTTTAACTTCTTTAGCTCTCTATATATTATGGATATTAGCCCTCTGTCATATAAAGGGTTGGTGAAGACCTTGTCCTAGTCTATGGTCTGTCTTTTGTTCTGATGACAGTGTCCTTTGCTTTACAGAAGCTTTTCAGTTTCACGAGGTCTCAATTATTAACTGTAGATCTTAGAGTCTGATCTGTTGGTGTTCTCTTCAGGAATTTGTGTTCCATGTCAATCAGGTCAAGGCTCTTCCCTAATTTTTCTCCTAACAGATTTATCGTGTCTGGTTTTATGTTAAGGTTTTTGATCCACTTGGACTTTAACTTTGTGCAGGGTGATCAATATGGATCTGTTTGTGTTTTTCTACATGCTGACATCCAGTTATACCAACACCATTTGTTGAAGACGATATTCATTTTCCATTGTATGGTTTTGGTTTTTGTAAAAATCTCAGGTGTCTGAAGGTGTGTGGGTTCATTTCTGTGTCTTCAACTCAATTCCATTGAATCACCAGACTGTTTCTACTCCAGTACCATGCAGTTTTTATTACTGTTGCTCTATAGTACAGCTTGAGATCAGGGATGGAGATATCTCTAGAAGAGCTTTTGTTGTACAAACTTGTTTTAGCTATTACAGATTTTTGTTTTTCCATATGAAACTGAGAATTGTTCTTTCAAGGTCTGTAAAAAAATTGTGTTGGTATTTTGATGGGTATTCCATTAAATCTGTAGATTGCTTTTGTTAGGATAGATATTTTCACAATGCCAATCTTTTTGAACCATCAGCATGGGGGATCTTTCCACTTCTGATGTCTTCTTCATTTTCTTTCTTCAGAGACTTGAAGTTGTTTTCAAAGAGGTCCTTCACTAATAACATAATATACCTTGGTGTGACTCTAACCAAGCAAGTGAAAGACCTGTTTGAAAAAAAAAAAACTTTAAGTTTCTGGAATAAGAAATTAAAGAAGATATCAGAAGATGGAAAGATCTCCTGTGCTCATGGATCGATAGGATTAACATAGTGAAAATGGCCACCCTGCCAAAAGCAATCTACAGATTCAATGCAATTCCCTTCAAAATACCAACACAATAATTTACAGACCTTGAAAGAAAAATTCTCAACTTCATATGGAAAAAGAAAAAAAAAACAGAATTGCCAAAACAATCCTGTACAACAACAGAGTGTCTAAAGGTATCTCCATCCCTGATCTCAAGCTGTACTACGGAGCAACAGTAATAAAAACTGCATGGTATTGGCATAGAAACAGAATGGTGGATCAATGGAACTGAATAGAAGACTCAGAAATAAATCCACAGACCTACGGATACTTGATTTTTGAGCTATTTTTTTTTTTTATCCAGCCATTTTGGTGAAGGTGTTTATCAGCTGAAGGAGTTTTCTGGTTCAGTTTTTGGAGTCACTCATGTACACTATCATATCATCTGTGGATAGT